TATATATATGTTTCTAAATTTGGATTATGAGAGTCAGAGAATATATTAAATAAATTATTAGGGAAAACAAATTACCAACACCTGCCTACCCCTTCACCTCCAACCCCAAATAAAATAAGCATCAGGAGGGAGCAGGATGTTGGGAAGGAATTCTGGCTTGAGTCCTTGTTCTATCAGCTGTTACTCAGTGTCTCTAAATTTCAGTCTCCTCATTTATGAACAGGACTATTCCTCTTCACAATGCTGCTTCTGGAAATCATCTTTACTTTATAAAGCACTCAAGTGACTTATGTTAGCAATTTATTAGTAATGACACATTTAAATTCTGCAAAGGAAACACATGAGTGTGCATTGATATCTTTCATTTAGATCTTCGTCACATAAGACTGATCTTTTGAGTTTCCTTTTCCCTCTGGCAGTGTACCTGTGACCCACTGAATTTTTATACAAGAGTAGAAAAGGGAAACAAAACCAACTAAAATGCAAATAACTTGTTTATTTTTAGCCAGTAGTAATAAAGATTTGGGGGAGAACGGAGCTGAATTTAAGTGAAGTGTGGGGGTTACAACCCTTGCCTGTAGCCTTGGAATGTTTATAGGCAATACCGCATAGCATTATGGGTAGTTCTAATCTAATAATTTATCTATAGAAACAAATGAACTGAAGTCTGTCTATATATACATCCATTAGTTGATGACAGAGTTGTGCCTTCTTCTACCTGCAATTATAAAAACGTTTTGCAATAAACAGGAACTTTGACTATGGGAGCGGCTTCACATATGGTAAAACTGCACTAACCCATGTTTAACAAGCAGATAAGTTTGAGGAAAAGAAATAATCCTTTGATTATGACCAACACCATTAGTACCTGCATTTTGACCAATTAGCCCTGTGCACTGACGATAACTTGAAGGTGGTAGGGGGGCTAAAAGAAGTTATTCTCTGGCCTCCTTCCCTTGCTCAGCCCATGCCAAATCCTGACTAACTCAAATTGCTGTTTGCTATGATTAGACAACAAACATAGCCACGGATAAACTGGGGAATCACTGCTGCCAAACACCAGATTCAGTAGTTCACCTGGGCCATCACAACCAACATCCATGGAAAGAGAGAGGGAGGAGCCACAGAATTGGGAAAATGAACAGCATGAGATAAATAAGAGGAGGTAGTATTTGCACCTCCCATGGTAGAAGAGGAAATCAAAGCCCTCTGGCTCCCAGAAAACCAGAACAAATTATGCACAACTGAAACAATGCTTCACCCTTATAAAATCAAGGGACCCTCTTTTATAAAGCTTTAATATCAACTTCATGTCTTTCCCAGAAAGTGTGGAACAGAGTGTAAGGAAATCATTACCGAGTTGCCACTCTCAGTCAGGAAGAACTAAACCTGACACAGTACCGGCGCCACCTTACTTACTGGTCATCCCACTCTGTAAGTCAGGAGCATATCGGGTTAAAAACAGTACATGTTACCAATAAGCCACACTTTAAACAATGTAAAAATACTGGTAAGTTCTCCAGCCACTTTATGAGCCAAACAGCGGTGGGTGGGGCAAGTTCACAAGGTGAGAGATGAGGAAGAAAATGGCAGCCACTAGGAAAAGGAGGAAGAGAATGTGAAGGAAATGGCCATTCGTGCGACTTTCAGAAGAGGTAGGTGCCTAACTAAAAAAATTTAAATGACTTTTTCATAAAGCAATAGGTTCCCTTTGCTTAACACAAAGCTTACAGCCAGACCTACATCATTTCTTCATAGGTAATCCCTGGAGACCTAGACATAGGCACCTAAAACGATTTGTAAGTCCACCTTAACCCTCTCCAACCACTGCTAATCCTATTACCTCTTTGCTCCAGACTGCTTTCCTACCCACTGGCTTTTTAAGAGAAGCTGAATAAATAGCTCAAGGGACTTTATCAGTCCATGGTCTCTTACTAGCTTAGTGTCCAGGTTTCCTGGCCTAAGGACAGTATCTGGCTCGTGTATTTGAGGATTGGCACTGATACTAAGAGACCTTCGGGATATACATGCCCACTGCCAGGTGGAGCACACAGAGGACAGCTTTGGTCTCTGGGCCAGACTAGAGTCCCCACAGCAGAGGGTCCTTGGACTCTCGGGGCGCAATGGAGACCTGGGACTGAAAGTACCCAAGTTCTGCTCCACCTGCAACGCAGTGGACCTGACTGGCTGGAGACTCAGGATACCAATTCCTGGACCACCAGCGACAGGACACCTGTGCGGTGGAAGCCCCGGGGTACGCCGGGCCCCAGTCCCGACAGGGCTCCGGCTCCTCCCGCCTCCTCAGTCCAAACTCCCCTGCCCTGCCCGATGCTCCCTCCTCCGAGTTCGCCACCCCATCCTAACTCCCTTCCGGTCCGCGCCCCCGACTCGTCCGAGCCCCTCTTCCGGTTCCACCGCCCTGGGGGTCCAAGCTCCCGCCCCTCCCAGCCGCCTCCTCCGAACCGCGTTCCTCTTTCGAGTCTCCCTCCCAGTCCCACCCAGCCTCCTTAAGGTGGGAGCCGCCTACCTGTTGGCGCCCCCTTCCCATCTGAACCCCTCCTAGTCCGAGCCCCGCACCCACATTAAACCGGGTCCCCGCTCGCAGCCGTGCCAGACCTGCGCCTCGCGCCGTCCGCTGTCCCTGCCGTCGCGCTCCGAGTGCAGCCACCACCCCGCAGGTGAGAGCTCCCCGCCCGCCCGGGCAGGGCCGGGCCCCCAGCCGGCTTTCCGCCCTCACCACACCTCCTCGCCGCCGCCCGCTTGCTGCACCTCCGGTCTCCAAAGCCTACACGCCCATGGCTCTCTGGCCGAGATGTCCTCTGGTCCGGACACTCCTTAGGGCGTGTGCTCTTTCGGAGACCTGTTCCCGGGTACCAAGGAGGGTGATGCAGAGCTATTACAAAGCCTGAGAGGCGGGAGGACCAGGGTCGAGGCCGCCGGCGGGAAGACTATTTCCCAAGCGCTGCAATCACTTTGGCCAAACAGGCTTGCAGGCTAGTCACCGACCACCTTCCGCGAAGCAAGGCTCTGTGTCATATCTGGACCAGAATCCAGTCTTCTAAGTTTGGCGTCCATGGATTCATTCACTCATTCACATTCATTTATTCAAAGACCTAGCATCTGCTAGGCATAGTTCAAAATGCTGGTGATAGACTACCAGACGAAGCACGTTCCTGGCCTGAAGGAGCATGCTTCCTGCCCAGGAATGCCTGATTGATTGATTGATTGATTGATTGATTGATTGATTGATTTGTAGTATCAGGTGGTCTCAAGCCCTCTGTAAGGTAAGGGCGTGGCCCAGTCGAATACTTTCTCACCCTGCTGTTGTTCGTATTCCCTCTGGCAGTTAAAAGAATGTAAGAGCAAACAAAGGCTGCCTCTTAGATCTGCTAAGAATCTGAGGGAGTTGAGCTGTCAGGGTACTTGCTGAAAGCTTCTTAGGTCACCTGGGCAAGTAGGAATTGAGAACCTGTAGAATGTTGTCCAACATATTCCACTGCAGAGGGCACCAGAAACCGGGAAGAGCTTCCTGGAAGACATACTGGATTTAGGTTTTTAAAGGAAATGCAAAGATATATACACTTGCAGGGTGGAAGGAGAGGGGATCCCAAGTGCTGCTTTTTTTGATCAAATGGCTTTTCTATAACGTCAAAGGAAAGGCACTTCTGAGGATAACACACACCTGAGCAAACCTTTCCTTTACGGAACAGTGTCTGAGAACTGATGGAAAGAGATGATGACAGAGTCACTGGTGTCACTCACAAGGTTGATAGCACCACACACTTCACATGTTGATGCAATTGCATCACACACTTCAGGTGGCTAATGTGCGGGAGCCTTGAGCTGGGAGAATATGCTCTAGTTTTCATCAAGTTGGGCATGTATTTAATTAGCAGTTTTCATTCAGAGCCTGCTTACATCTGTTGTTTTTGAAATAGATGAGAAGGTGGAGTTCTGGGTGCCTGTTATCCTGGGACAAATTTCTCTGTTTTCCCTACTATGGCCAGATTTTCCTCTAAGGAAGGTTATGATGATGAGACAGATGTGTAACCTTTTAGTTATAGTTACTGGTGGGTAGAAATGCTGCTTATTATTGAAGAATGAGAACTAAGAAAATCATATGTTCATCCTGTTATAGTACCCAGATGCCAGAACAAACCAGTTTTTACAAAATAAGCTTCAGGGTCTTTAACTTGATCTTAAAAATAATAAAAGTCAAATAGCTTAAATGAAACAGTTACTAAAAGATAAAGATAAACATCAATAACTATAAAATAATGCAATAAGAACAACTAACAACATAAAGCTATTTTAATGCAAAAGTGGAACCAACTAGCATCCAGAAAAATATTCAATTATGTGTAGGCTTTGATAAATGCAAAGATAACATTTTAATTCACCGGGAAGTGATTTATTTATACATATTGCTGGTATAATTGTCTATTCTTTTGGAAGATCTTATCTCGGAGCTGCTCATTCTAATCCTCCATTGGCCTTTGTGGTACTGATTGAACACATGGTCACTCAGAATAAGTACTGGCTTATTATTTTTTTTTTTACTGGCTTGCTTTTTCATTAGGATGTGACTAAGTTGAGGATGACCAGCTGTGAGTGGAAGTGTTCTAGGCAATGTCTGGTGGTGTCCTGAAAGAAAGGCGCCCACCTTCTTCCTGTTTCTCCTGCCCACTGGATTGTGGATGTGACATGTGGGTCACAAAAATGAATGGTGGTGAAAGAGGACAAAAGAAACCTGGATTCTTGGATGATTTCATGCAGTGGTCTTTATATCAGTCTGAAAATGCCCATCTCCCTTCAGTTATGTGAAAGAGAAAGTGAGATCCTGTATAAATCATAGTTCTTGGGGGATTTAGTTACATGGAGCCAAATCTATATCCTAACTAATGCAGAACTAATTGAGAACTGCCCTCTGCATTATACCATGAACAAACAAAAATTGAAGATGGATTTAAGGATCATCTAAATAGACCATTTACTTTGCTCAGTAATCAGTTTGAAAGCTCCATTGTACAGAACTAATGTTTCCTATTGCCCTTACAGATTGTGATGATATTGTTTATAATAGCAAATTTCTGTCAATGTGAGAATACTTAAATACAGTAGAGCATGGCCTTTCTGTGACATACTATAAGTTATTAAAAAGAAAGAAATAAAATAGTAAAAAAAAAAAAAGAATGAGTTAAACATATACTTACTGACCAGAAAAGTAGTCATAATGTATTGCTAAAGTAAAAAAAAATTGCAGAATGGTGAAGGTTTTTGATTTGTGTGTGTGTGGTAAAATACATGTAACATAAAATTTACTATTTTAGTTGTACATGACAGTGGCCTTAAGTACACTCACATTATTAAGTATACTCACATTAAGTACACTCACATTGTTCTGAATGTATTTATTAGGTCTAGCTTATATTCCTTTTTTCTTTATGTTTCACAGTAATGAAATCATGTTATACATGCACACACTTAAGTGATATGTGCATGTGTGGGTACATATGAGGATATATAGGAAAGGTATAGAAAGGACCCTGGTTACCACATGGAAATAATATTGGACAGGAGGGAGACAGGAGAGAAGTAATTAATGTTTCAGAAGTGTGTTCCTAGCTGAAGATCTGGTGAGACTGTGAGGGAATATAGACAGAGTGACATATGACAACTCTTCCAACTGTGGCCTCATGACTAGCTGAATAGTGGGAAGTATAGTTTGCCACACTAATTATCTTACATGTAGTCTTTGCAGCATTTTAAAAAAAGAGTTTGATCCCCTGCCCCAAAGGTGATCCACATGGCCCGGCAGACCTCTCCTGACCCGCCTGCTGCACCCTCAGCAGTGTACTTCGTCAGTCAGCCTGTTCTGCTCCCCACTCTGTCTCTGGTGAGGACTCTCACTGCCTCTGCATCTCTGGCTTGTACCCCACTTCTGTATGCATACAAGAGTTGGGGTACATGCCAGACGTTTGAGGGATGAGAACATTCATCAGAGACAGTGGGGAGACGAACAGGTAGATCTACTGAAATATACTGCTGAGGGGAGCTTCGGACAAGACAGGAGAGGTCTGCTACGCCATGCGGGTCACCTCCCTGGCCAGATATCAAAGTCGTGCTGTGGTGGTGACAGAGAGCTTCATAGTGCTGTGGCTTACCTGTCTGTGCCACCACGGAGGCTCCCTTTGCAGAATTTTTAATCGGCCACGGCACTGAAAGAGACTCTGTGAGGAACTGGACTTAAGAGCGATGGAGTGGTTCAAAATGAATAGCACTGTACGTTTTGTGTGACTTTTCAACATCCTGTCAGTCAGAATCCAACAAGATGACAACAGAGTGAAGACATTTGGCTTGCTTCTTCCACATATTCACAAATTACAATAAAAAAGGCAACACCTAATATAGATTTAAAAAAAAAGATAGCCATCAAATGCATTAGGAACAATGGTACAGCAGAAGCGGGATAGGAAAAGGTGTAGTTAAACTGTGTTTTCAGTAATACTAGGACAGTGCAACCCAAAGAGGGGGGCAGTGATGCATAGAGTTCCTTTGCTGTTGCTAACACAGGGGGCACATGCCCACAATCACGTGGAAATTGGGCATTGCATGGAAAAGGGGCTACACAGAGTTGGCATACAAGACAGAGGGTGCCCTACTAGAGAACTGTAGTAGTAAGGGTACAGTGATGATTATTACTAACTTGAACTTGAGGCTCACAATCTAGAACAGCTGGAGCTGGAACTGGTAGGGAGAGCCATATCAGATCAGCTGCGTCCTCGTAGATGAGGTTATTATTTGCAGCCTGAGGCTGTGCTGTTCAACACACCTACTTTATACCCACCAGAGCCCAGGCTGAGACAATGGAACACTCTCATTAAACAGAACTGAAGTGCTGTATCTTAATAGTAGGAGCAAGCACCCCAGGGTAAGTTTCTGTACTTGAAAAGGAAAAGAACAATTCCTGACTTGTAGCCTTATCTCAACTATAGTCCTTGCTCAGTTATACATCTAGTGTTCAGTCACAGCCTACAAGTTGAGACTGGTATGAGACTACATGAGACATTTTGCCTAAGGATTTGACTAGGAGAGGGGATGGTGGTGTATTCAAACAAAAAAAATTAAGGAACCTGTAGCACTGTGGGGAGCTTGAATCTGATGCTCACTGCAAGAGACCTCTGCTGTGAGTTATCCTGTATTGACACCAGTGCCCCAGCCATCTGAACAGGTAGAGAGGCAGCAGTCTGTGAAATAGTAAACACCTAGAGATCCTAGATAAAAGTTTCTTGTAGAAGGGCCCCGCCTTTTTTTTTTTAAATAAAAGAAAAGGAGTCTCCCTATTGCAATCCATGGAAAATAGAAATGAAGAAACACATGAACATATCATAAATGCTGTTTGATTTTACTCACTACTCATACAGAAAACAAAAACAAAACTTTAGATTCTGACAACAAAGAAAGGTGGTTCCCAGATGGGAAGGAGGTGAAAGGGAAGGGACCGAAGGGCTTGATTTAGTCTGGGATGGAACATCACTGAACATTTGGTGGTGAGTGTGGTGAGAAAACATAATCTTGGACTCTACATAATGCTATGGCCAAGTTGCTCTGAGGTCTTAAGTGGCACAAAAGGAAAAAAAAAAACTCTCTGAGGTTTGTATTTATAGATGAGTCATAGCAACAATTTTGACCTGAGCTTCAAGGTTGAATGGAAACAGAAATACAGAGAAAGGA